GGTCCTGAGTGCAAAACTGGGTGACTGGAGCCCCGGGGGAGGCAGAGGATGGAGCCCAGCCATGACCTGTCATTGCTGCTGCTGGGAACAGGTGACGTGGATTTCAGAATAGAGGTGGAGGCAGCTGTGGAAGACAAATACCTTTTCTGTTGTTCTTTCTTTCAGAGGAGGTGGCTTTCAGAAAGAAGAGGCTGTGCATTAAATTTATTCCACGAGATTCAACCGAAGCTGCAATCTGTGACATTCGGATCATGGGCCGTACCAAGCAGGCCCCGCCTCAGTACACGTTTATTGGGTAAGTCTCAATAACACGGATCTCGCTCTTAGGGCCTTTCCCTCCCCTGTCCTGCGCATTCACCCTCAAGCCCTTGTGGGTCCTGCCCAGATGCCTGGGGATGCCACTGGGCCTCAACTCTCCGCACTGCCCATTCACCCGATGAGATTTGAGGGGAACCTGTCTCGTGCCGCTGGGCCAAGGACCTGGGCGTGGAAGCAAATGAGTCAAGGCCCTGCTGTTGCAGAGCTGACGTTCTAGAAGGGAGAGACAAGCAATAAACAAGAAAATAAAAGAGATGATTTCAGACAGTGAAGAAAATGAAACACACTGATGGGATGGGGGCTGCTTTAGTCAGGGGGTCAGGAAGGTGACACTTGAGCAGAGACCTAAATGTCAAGAAACCAGCCATGCAGGGATGTGAAGGCAGAGCCTCCTCGGCAGAGCAGAGCAAGGATCACGGTGGGAGTGAGCACAGCCTGTCCTAGGAACAGAAAGCAGCCCAGTGTGGCTGGAAGGGGTGTGCCAGGGACAGTGCTGGGGTGAGCGGAAGGGCTGGCAGGACCTCCTAGGACACGGCCTGGGTTTATCCCAAGAATGTGGAGGCCATTGGAGCATCCTGAGGCAGGAGGAGGCGCAAACGTTACACGAGTGTGTGGTACTTCGCTGTGCTGTCTTGGTCGAGCTGCTGAGGCCGGGCCATTTGCATCTCAGCTGTTCCTCCAGTAGTCTTAGCACCAAGCAGCGGCTCGAGCTGCTCCATAAATACTGTGTGCAGTGGAATCTCAGGATTTCACGCTGGGCTCTGTTGATTGTAAGTGACAGGAAACCCAGCCCAGACTGGCTCCAGCAGAAGGAAGAATTTGTTGGCTGATGTAATAGCAGAGTTCAGGGGGCAGCATGGCTCCGGGCACGGCTGGAAGTAGGAGCTCGGAGGACATCACTAGGATCTAGTACCCCATCTCTTCCTGCTCTGGGGCTTCTGGGCAGATGCATGTTCTCCCCTGGTGAACAGGTGGTGCAGTAGTTCACCTGCTTCTCACCAGGTTCAGGTACGGAGGCGGAGAGCAAGTCTGCTCTCTGGCCAGGCCTGAGCTGGAAGCAGAGTCAGCTCCGTTGGAACTAACCACGAGGGGGTGGCTGCCCCCAAAACACGGGGTGGTGGGGTCAGTACAAAGTCAGAAAGGGAGGCGAGGGATGCTGGATGTCCCAAAGGAAATAGAAGGTCTCTCTCTCCTCTATTGACTGAATTTTGGTCACAGTGACCAGTGTGGCAGGTGGTTGTCAGCCCCCTCGGCCACACGTCTCTCTCTGTGGCCAGGCTTTGCAAGCAGCACGGTCATCCCTGTGGGTTCTCCGGGACACTCTCTCCCACTTGGCTTTCGAGGTCGCCTCCTGAGTCTGGTGTGTACTCTGTTTTGCTCTTGTTCGTTTGAGCCCAGAGCCTCCTCTGCACTCTACAAGCCAGGGCCTTTGCTCCTGTCCCAGACAGGGCAGGAGACGGGCCTGAGGCATCTGCGTAAAGCGCGTGCGGAGCAGGTCTCACAGAGATAGACTCACTTCAGTGTCTTTAGACTCGTCAGCTGTGGAATCTACATGCCCTGTGTCAAGACTGGTTCTGAAGGACTCCGTGAGTGGTCATTCCCTTCCTGCACCCTCAAAAATCCTGTTTTGCAGCATGGTTTACACTAGTGATATAGACAGCATCACAGGAGCAGGAACAGTTAAGAGAATAACCATATTTCACGTACCTTAGAAGCAGCCATTAACATACAAATAGTCGAAACCAACAATTTAGTGATGAACTTTTAAAGGCTAATTTCAGTTGCTATATGTGTATTTTTAATTACAAACTATTGTGAAAAGATTCAGTTTTTTACGAATTTAAACAATTCTAAAGAATAGATTTTTACCAGTAGGATTGCTATAGTTTTGTTTTATCTTGGGCTTAAAATTCTTTTCCAGAGGAAGACAATTGCGGTGCAGTGTTTAAGTTAGGAAAGAGAATTCAGTATTCAGCTGCTTAAGTCACTTTTTAGAAACGGACAGAGTTCTACATGTTATTTTGAGAGGGTTTGGGGTTGTCAGGTGGGGGAGCAGGAAGCTCACGTTCCAAAGACTCCTTCAGAGCATGGCAGCCGCAGGCCCAGACCGCGCTGTGGCCAGATCAGCGCAGCTCCCTGGAGTCACTCATCTAACAAGACCGAACTGTGGTTTACGATAGTTCCTGAAGCGTGCTGAGAAGCTTATTAGAAGTAGCCACAGAATAAATCTTTTTTTTCATTTCTTGAAGAAATGATATTCCTCTAAATCAGCTCTCAAAGATGCAGTTCTGTGGGGCACGTGAGAAGGTGAAAATTGGATGTGACTAAAACGGTCCCGTCACAGTTCCTAGGAGTGTGCCTGTCCCATACACACTCACGACTGCCTAGGGCGGGGCTGGGCGTGGGGGGTGTGCATTTGAGTCACAGGAGACCTGACAGGGCCCCTGCGAGGCCCCTTTGTGCCCCCTCCTAGTTGTGGCTTGTGGGGCATATGCCTTGGGGTTTTGTAGTTTGAAGATGTCTTCCAAACTGCCCCTGCGAATGAGGTGCCTGCAGGTGGCACCAGCTGTCAGGGGCTGTATCCTGAAATGGGGGCATGTTATAGAATGAGGGCTGGGGGGGGGCCTCATTTGTCTTGTGATTAAAAACCAGTAACCATGTCTGTCTGTCCATCTCTCCATCTGTCTCCCCTAGCAACACAAAGGTCTTGACATGGATTATCACATAACTACACACAATTAAATGGTAAAACAAAAAGAGGTTTAAAGACTGAGAAGCAAGGAAAGTCACAGGGCAGGAAGGCGGGCAAGCTCAGGGTGGGCGAAGGAGGTGGCCTCGTCATAAAGGCCTGCCTAGATGGGACAGTCACCCTCACATTATGCTCTGAACTGTGACGCTGGGAACACAAAGGAGGGGACATAACCCCTCTTACCTCGGCAAGAATTGGCCCCCTGGTGTTTGAGGCTACTGACTGTTTTAAATAAGGTGGTTTGCCTTGTTGCGCAGGTAAATGCTCTGTGCTAACCAGAGCCACGAAGCTTTCTCTTTTCTCCTACAGGGAACTGAACAGCATGGGGATCTGGTACCGGATGGGCAGAGTACCGAGAAATCACGACTCTTCCCAACCCACGACGCCTTCCCAGTCATCAGCCGCTTCCACCCCAGCCCCCAACCTTCCCAGGTGAGGCCTTGGCGGTGGTGTCTCGTGCTGTCATGTGGTCTTGGGTGCCCCTGCACAACATTAATATCTGCCGAAATAGCGCAGGACATAACTAAAAAATTGTAGAAGCGATGTACCTTTACAGGAGATTTTTAAAACTCCAGTTAGAAATCTTTGCATTATATGAACGTAAAGGCTATTCTATATTCTATTTTGTACATATTCTGCAGGCTTCTAAAATAGCAGAATATGCACCTTAAAATTGGCTTGGTGTTCGAAGGAACTTGTAGATACGCACAGACACATGCTTTGTAGCCATGTGGTTGGGACTGCTGGCCTTACGAAGGTGGAATTCCTTTTCTGCCTTGGCCAGCTACTCATTTGAAACCCAGGAGGGTTGGTAAGTAATTATATTCATCTTCATATAGTTTCTTGTCCCAATGAGCTACTTGGGGATTGATGTCACATAACGAAAATGGATGTCAAAGCTTGTGTGGTGGCATAGACATGAACAAAGTCTACCGGGAGCAGGATGAAATAGTCACCAGTGGGGTCCTCCTGGCCCCACACACCACACCCTGCCCTCAGCGAAGTGCCCCTGGCTGGCTGCACTCATTTCCTCTAAGCCAGCATCTGCCTCTCTTGGGAACACGGTGCCGTAATGAGCCCCGAGGTTCCAAGGACCCTGTGTGTACAGATAACCCCTATAAAGACACTGTGGTCTTTCTTGTGTCGGTTTAACAAACCAAAGGTGGTATTTAAATTTACCCCTAGAATCACCTGAAACTTCAGAAGTAGTTTTCAGTTTCCCTTTCGTCTAAAACGATGTGAATGAGCCTCCCAGATCTGCAGGTTGAACAGTTGAGTCTCTTTCCTTGGTTCAGGAGTGTGAGGCTCGCACCGCACAGTCAGCACTTGTTCCTTCCTTTCTTACTGACCAAGCACTGTCACAGCTCTACCCTGGAGGGCACTGCCAAGACTCACCATCACGTGTGCTCAGGTGGTCTCAGGCCCATTACCTGTGCTGGAGTCAGTGCAGGCCCATCGCCGGTGCTCAGGGTCAGCTGAGGCCCATCCCCTGTGCTGAGGATTATCTCCCTCCAGTCACCTGTGTTCAGGGTCAGCTGAGCCAATTACCTGTGCTCAGGGTTCTCTCAGGCCAATCACCTGTGCTCAGGGTCAGCTGAGGCCCATCACCTGTGCTGAGGATTATCTCCCTCCAGTCACCTGTGTTCAGGGTCAGCTGAGCCAATCACCTGTGCTCAGGGTTCTCTCAGAACCATCATCTCTGCTGGAGTCAGTGCAGGCCAATCAGCTCTCCTCAGGTTCAGCTGAGGCAGATCACTTATGCTAAGGGTTCTCTCAGGCCCATCACCTGTGCTTACGTTCAGCTGAGGCCTGTCACCTGTGCTCAGGGTCAGCGGAGGCCTATCCTCTGTGGTTAGGGTTCTCTCAGGGCCATCACCTGTGTTGAGGGTAAGCTGAGGCCTATCATCTGTGCTGAGGGTTCTCTCAGGCCCATCACCTGAGCTAAGGGTCATATGAAGTCCATCACCTGTGCTCAGGATTGTCTCAGACCCCTCACCTCTGCTGGAGTCACTTCAGGCTAATCACCTGTACTCAGGTTCAGCTCAGGCCCATCACCTGTGCTCAGGGTTCTCTTAGGCCCACCACCTGTGCTTAGGCTCAGCTGAGGCCCATCACCTGTGCTCTGGGTCAGCTGAGGCCGGTCACCTGTGCTTAGGGTTCTCTGAGGCCCATCACTTATGCTGGAGTGAGTGTAGGCCAATCAGCTCTACTCAGGTTCAGCTGAGGCCAATCACTTGTGCAAAGCATTCTCTCAGGCCTATCACCTGTGATGGAGTCAGGGCAGGCTCCTCACCTTGCTCAGGGTCAGTTGTGGCTTAACACCTGTGCTCGGGGTTATCTCAGGCCCATCCCCTGTGGTGACGGTTCTCTCAGGCCCATCACCTGTGCTGGAATCAGTGTAAGCCCATCACTTGTGCTTAGGGTTAGCTCAGGCTTGTGACCTGTGTTAAGGCTCAGCTGAAGCTCATCACCTGTGCTCGGGAAGCTGAAGCTCATCACCTGTGCTCAGGGTCACCAGAGCCCCATCACTTGTACTGAGGGTTCTCTCAGGGCCATCACCTGTGTTCAGGGTCAGCTGAGGCAAATCACCTGTGCTCAGGGTTCTCTCAGGCCTATTACCGGTGATGGAGTCAGTATAGGCTCATCACCTTTCTCAGGGTCAGTTGATGCTCATCACCTGTCCCCAGGGTCATCTGAGGCCCATGACCTGTGCTCAGGGATATGCCAGGCCCAACACCTCTGCTCAGGGTGAGCTAGGCCCATCACCTGTGCTTAGGATTATCTTAGGCCACTCGTGCTCAGGATCAGCTGGGGAAAATCACCTGTGCTCAGGGTTCTCTCAGGCCTATCACCTGTGCTCAGGGTCAGATGAGGCCCATCACCTGTGCTCAGGGTTCTCTCAGGTCCATCACCGGAGCTCAGGCTCAGCTGAGGCCCATCAGCTGTGCTCTGGTTATCTCAGGTCCATCACCTCTGCTGGAGTCAGTGCAGGCCCATCAGCTGTACCCAGGTTCAGCGGACACCCATGACCTGTGCTCAGGGTCAGCTGAGGCCCATCACCTGTGCTCAGGGTGATCTCAGACCCATCACCTTTGCGTGGGGTTATCTCAAGTTTGGGCTCCTTGTAGAGGCTGTAAAGCCCCCAGGGGATCAGTTGCCCTGAAGTAGTCACAGCTGCTCCCCGTTGATACCAGGTGGGTCTGATTGAGCCCAGAAATGGGCACCAGGCAGGGCCCATGTTAACTTTCTGTTGGATAAAGAAAGAGAGCGCTCTTTCCCCCAGATAAAGCAGAGAGAGTGATCTGCCCAGAAACCTGCCAGTCAGCATGAGAACAGAGTGACTTGCAACCGAAGCAAGAGGGCCTGGGAACACCAGCCGCTGGGAGCTGGGCAGAATTGGAGAGTAACGCGTCAGAACAAAGTGTTTATAAGGCTTATATATTTTATAACCTCCACTGTACAGTTTATGGTTTACAATGGCTGCAAGGAAATTGGATCAGTTTTGTTTTACTTGCCAAATAAAACAAATGTCAAAATAGTCAATATAAAATGTATTCTAATTTGGCTGAGTTAAGTCAGCCGGCATGCAGTGGGATAATTGAACGTGCATTAATGCTCCCAGGTAGAATCCACTTGCCTGTCCCAAGCTCTCCTGTCTCGCTGTGCAGCAATTTACAGGTAGCACGCACACCTGTGTGAGCCTCCTGATTCATCAGGAAACGTTTTTTGGGTTTTGTGAGGTTTTTGGGGCGATTGTTTACCTATCGAGTGTCTTTGATTTTTTAAAAAATGAAATGCTGATTATTTATTCAAATTTTCCATTGGAGACCTATGTCTCCAATGAGTATGTTATTTTATTCCTTGAGGCCCGAGGTCTCTGTAAATGCTCCAGAAGAGGAACCTGCCAGCCTTCTCCCTGGTGGCATGCCGTGGGTCATGCCTGTGTTGCAGGTGCTGCGCATCTAGCGTGGGCCTGTGGGGTGAAGGCCAAGCTGCTCGGTAGGGCCCCAAGGGCCCCCACATCCCGCTCCCAGGAGTTCGTGTCTTCTCTCTCCCAGCCCCTAGCCCAGACTCTAAGCTGAACCGGTGGCCACCTCTTCCCTTCCTGCTTCTGCGCCTTCGCTCAAGGTGGTGAATGTGTCCTGCACAGCTGCAGTAGGTCTCAGCTTAAAGGGCTCCTCCCCCAGAACCAGCCCCTCGCCCCCCTGCCGAGCCCAGAGGGGCTGGCCCTTCCTCGCTGAGCGCTGCTCGGTCACTTTGGTTTAACGTTGTGTCCTGGTCCTGGTGTGAGCTCCTTGAGAAGCTCCCCAGTGCCCACCTGGACCCGGGCGCACACTCAGGCTTAAGACAAATGCTCTAGCAGCCGAGAACCCCAAGTGGCAGCCCCTCCAGGCGACTCCCTGAGCACTGCTCGGGTCTTTCCCGATTGTGAGAGTAATATGAGCTTGTGGAAAATTGGCAGAATATAGAAAGTTATGAAAAAAACAAATTCCACTTCCAGTGAGCAAATGCTTATAACCTTTTTTTATGTTTACTTCAAGTCTTTTTCCTGTGTACTTTTTACATAGGTGATAGCGTATCCTATAACATCAAGTTTGCATTTTGCTACTGGTTTCTCATGTGGTATTAACCACAGACCTAGGAAACACGTCTTCCCGTGTCGTCTTTGTGTGGACACCGATCCATTTGCTGAAGCCACAGGGAGCACGGTGACGCGGCGCCCTCTACTGACCGACCATGGCGGTGGCGGGAGGAGCGCCCGCTCCTGACAGCGGGCGGCAGGCCTGCTCCCCAGCCACCTCCTGGACTGGAAGGAACCAGGGAGGGGTCGGTCAGTAGCAGACATCACTGCCCTGCTGAGCCTGGGCGTTCGTCTCGAAAGCTAAAAACCTGTGCTCTGCCTCCATTTCTTACGTCATCACTCAGATGTCAAAGAATTCCCTGCCATTTTAGGGGAGCTGTCATTCCTAGCTTTGTTTACTCCTAGACAAGAGGGGCATTTGGTGGATCTTTTCACAGATGATGGGCCACCACCTGAGGACCTCATGGTTCCAGCAGGCACTCCCCAAGGAAGCTCTGTTATTGTGGAGCATGCTCATGGTGAACCAGATACGGAGTTGTCCTTTCGGAGGGGCAGGCCCCTAGAGCGCCGTGGGATGCTTCTTGGCTATATCCAGTGAATAGCATGTCGTGTTTGGTGAAGTTGCTGGCAAAGGTGGTGTAAGATGGCTTGGCACGACTCCTCTCCCCCATGCAGTGGACCTTTATCTCACACGCAACGTCTCCATGCACGTCTGCTGCCGGTCTCCAAGTGAAGGAGGGCAGGCTGCTTCTCCCAGGCCTTGGAGCCTCCATTTCCCTGACACTTCTGCAGGGCAGTAGGCCACCCTGTCCCCTGCCCAGCCACTTTGTGCATGTTGATCAGCAGCGTG